TCATTGAACATTGGTGACGATTCCAGATTGTATTTTTGCATCTGAGCCAGAGTAAAGAAAATGTGGTGGTCTTACTTTAAATTTTCTGGAACATGGATGAATTTCGTCACCTTGGAGCTACGAAAGAACGATATGTGGAAAACCCATAGGTTGTGCATTACTCATCTCATACTATTTCTTTTAGTTTCACGTGGCATTCGTGTGAACCGGTTGTGGGATAGGGTATTCTGGTGGATTCCAGTTCCTTCGTGGGTAACGTCAATAGATTATTCGACTAGGTTTGTTAGCGTGCCTTAATCGTCTACGGCAAGCGAACTTCAAATATCGCACTTATTATTCTAGCCTCGACTAATAATCGGGTTGACTAACAGACGTAAGTAAGAGTCAATGTTGCTGTGTCCAAATCCAATAGGTCGTATGTCAATCAAAAACTCACGGGGGTCCAAATGTTCTATGGAGTAAACATCACGCTTGCCAATGTTGAGCTTTAGCAAGAAAGCATATTGAAAGAGGTATGTTCATTGAGGAATGGTGCGGCTTCGCTAAGGCCTCAGGTGATATAGGTGAAATATTTCAGTCCATGATACTTTTGAGCGCAGATTTTGCAATGCTCATAAACCCCATAATTTTCTAAAAAAAGCTGCTACCTTTTCGCTGTCCGTATTTGGAATCTCGCCGCCCGATTAGCTTACCGAATGATAGTACAAGGCCTCGTGTTGTCGATATGGTTAGACTACAACGTGAATCGAAAAGGAAACGATGCTGGCTCGTTGTGAGTTTGCTTTTGGTCGCATGTTTTCCATGGAATCCTCAAACGTGCTGATTTTTGTCCATACAGTCAGCCAGCCGTCCGGATATCGTTCAACCACCACACGCACTTTAGGGTTTCGGATAAGAATAAAACATCTTTAGGAACAATCTTGTGAAACTAACATCTGTACCACTCAGAAAACCATTTCCTTTACCCGTGTATTTAGAAACAATATCCACGATGCAGAATTGGATGGTTGTACAATACGACAATGGGAACTCTCCGTTAACACGAAATGCAGAATCATCTGAGTGCATTCTGCTGCAGCAGTATTAAGAAACGCTTGCCAAGACAGGTCGGATTAAAACAGGTTAATTCACCATTCTACGACTTTTAAAGCTAAGGTTACGCCGAGATATTCTCGTTGCGATCATATGAAAGTATTCCGACTGAAAATAAATATATACTCAGTACACTACGGAAGATTTTGCTGAACTCCCTTCGACAGACCACGACCTCTGTTGCTATTCTTAGGGCTCATCACAGTGTGTGCCCCTGGCCTTCGTTTCAGACGTTTGTAAAGTAGGAGTCTTGCTGTAATTGATCAACAGTTGAGATATTTCATCAGAAATTAAATTGCTAGGAATGTGTAACTAGAGGATAGCGTGATCCATGTAAACAAGAAAATAAATGTATGCGAGGAAAATCAAAATTAAGAAACCCATCGGTCTACACGAATCCGAATAATTCAGCGGAATTATGAGTTGTATGTCAAACAAAATCAACAGTTATCAAACAACAATTTGACCATTTTGCATTTTCCTAGCCGAACTTGTCATGTTTTTGCTTCGAACATGTAATGAAATTATCCGATTATTTATTATCCGCATCTTGAGTTGCGTGCGAAGTGTAATGATATTAATAATAATAATAACAATGATATTGATTATTCCCAACTTTTGGGTGGCATACCGTCCTGCATGATCATATGTTTACAGTCAGGATGGGGCATCCCTTGGGGATTTCTGGGTAGTGAGATTGCGCGAAATGAGGATAAGGTCATAAACATTGGGAAGTATTCGATGAAATAATAATAATAGTTTTTTTTCGCAACCTGTAAGGAACAGTGTGCATGAGGTCCGACTAATCCAAAGACTCAGTTGGAATACATGAAGTACAACTGGAAAAACCATTGGTGCCATGAGTGACCTTGGGCAGTTGGGTAAATAGCCGGAGTCAGATCGAGCAAGGTGGAGATGTTCATGATCAGGTTTCCTTGAAAGTTCATATGCCTGGAATTTTATACTGTGCGTCTTGTGTGAACTGAACTTTGCATTAGTCATGTATGGCGATGGTGCGAAAAAGCTGCCCACAAGAAATCTATTAGGTTGTGGTACAAAGTTTAACCAAAGCAAGATATGTTGGGCCATTACGATCACTTTGTTCAATGACTGATCATTTGCGCAAACTTACATCAACAATGTGGGCACATGAGTAATTTACGGTGTTTTCTAGGACAAATGTGTATTATTCCTTCGAGCGCCCATGCGTTTCACACATTACTGGGCAGCAAACTGAGTCTACTAAATGGTGCAACGTAGTGGCTGGCTTCATCATTACCGTTACTGAACACTTTGGTCCAATGGGACATCAGTACGGTTCTTTGTATTAAAAGTCATTTGTATTAAAAGTCATAGTGAAAATGTGTATTCGGCAGCAGATGGTCGACCCGGAATTTTATCTCTTTCTGCAACCTTTATTCGTAATTTTCCTACTCGGGGTGCGCGTAGTAACATTGCCTTTTATTCTGTTTTGATCACAAAGTGATGCTAAAGAGGTAAAAGCCATACCTGCTGGAAGTAGTATTAATGCGCCAAAAGTGTTACTCGCTTTATTGAAAATGGACTTGAGATTTCGAAATTTTGACATGAACAAGATAGTCTGTTTGGTTTGCGGACCTCCGGAAGTGAATTTGATCGACGTGTTTTAATAAGCAATTTAATTTTCACGGCTATGTGAACTAAGTGAACTTGTCAAAAACAAGGCGAACCAAGTGGCTCTTTCGCCTACCCTGGTAATGCTGCTGGTTGCCCACAGGCTTACAGCGGAATGGCAAATCCAGAAAGATGACTGCAAAAAATGTCCTGTGTGTATGCTTAAGTGTTCTAGAGAATACAATCTCTGTCTTCGACAAGTAAGACCACTTGTCTTACATTCAGGGCGGAGGAACACTAAATAAATCAGGTGTAAGCTAGCCCGCATTATTGGAACGTATTCTATGATGCCCACAATCTGATAAGACCCGAAATCCACCCGAAAATCGCATTATGGAAAAACATCAGGAAAGCCAGAGGAGCCGAGTTGAGAAATTCGGTTAGTCCAGCACAGACAGACAACGATGAGTATCTATCTATGGCCTTTCCAAAAGCCGGGATTCAAGGTCAAAGGTGCGCAGTGCTCTTCTTCCCGTTTCGCTTCTTATCGGTGAGCCTTTTTATGACGCTGAGGTGCTGATGAGAAGGTGATTTGTCAAATTTAACTGTCAAAAGCCGGGCTACTGAACGCATTCAGTAGTGAAACCGGCGTTTTTCTCAATTCTCATTGGACCAATGTGGTTGATAAGAGCTTGTATGGGGATGTACTTTATATTTGAGTCATCATAATCGTTAAAGCCAGAATCGGTCATGAAATTGGCCGCTGTCATCATCGTAAACGTTTGAGGGTAATACCAACTTATCTTCTCAATTATATAGCCGGCAGTCCAGTGTAAATTGGAACTCAGTTGCTTTACCCGATTTGCTCAAAGAAGTCAAAGCTGACTTTCCTAACAGGTCCAAATGGTGCGCCTTGCCAAAAAGGAGAGACATTACGCTGGGTGTTTGTGCAGTTGTAGAATCAGCTTATGGTTGATAGGGCTAGGAACTGTGTATACAAAATGCAATGTGATGACTGTAAGAAGTTTTATATAGGTTTGCAGGTATTCGGCAGCAGATGGTCGACCCGGAATTTTATCTCTTTCTGCAACCTTTATTCGTAATTTTCCTACTCGGGGTGCGCGTAGCAACATTGCCTTTTATTCTGTTTTGATCACAAAGTGATGCTAAAGAGGTAAAAGCCATACCTGCTGGAAGTAGTATTAATGCGCCAAAAGTGTTACTCGCTTTATTGAAAATGGACTTGAGATTTCGAAATTTTGACATGAACAAGATAGTCTGTTTGGTTTGCGGACCTCCGGAAGTGAATTTGATCGACGTGTTTTAATAAGCAATTTAATTTTCATGGCTATGTGAACTAAGTGAACTTGTCAAAAACAAGGCGAACCAAGTGGCTCTTTCGCCTACCCTGGTAATGCTGCTGGTTGCCCACAGGCTTACAGCGGAATGGCAAATCCAGAAAGATGACTGCAAAAAATGTCCTGTGTGTATGCTTAAGTGTTCTAGAGAATACAATCTCTGTCTTCGACAAGTAAGACCACTTGTCTTACATTCAGGGCGGAGGAACACTAAATAAATCAGGTGTAAGCTAGCCCGGATTACTGGAACGTATTCTATGATGCCCACAATCTGATAAGACCCGGAATCCACCCGAAAATCGCATTATGGAAAAACATCAGGAAAGCCAGAGGAGCCGAGTTGAGAAATTCGGTTAGTCCAGCACAGACAGACAACGATGAGTATCTATCTATGGCCTTTCCAAAAGCCGGGATTCAAGGTCAGAGGTGCGCAGTGCTCTTCTTCCCGTTTCGCTTCTTATCGGTGAGCCTTTTTATGACGCTGAGGTGCTGATGAGAAGGTGATTTGTCAAATTTAACTGTCAAAAGCCGGGCTACTGAACGCATTCAGTAGTGAAACCGGCGTTTTTCTCAATTCTCATTGGACCAATGTGGTTGAATAAGAGCTTGTATGGGGATGTACTTTATATTTGAGTCATCATAATCGTTAAAGCCAGAATCGGTCATGAAATTGGCCGCTGTCATCATCGTAAACGTTTGAGGGTAATACCAACTTATCTTCTCAATTATATAGCCGGCAGTCCAGTGTAAATTGGAACTCAGTTGCTTTACCCGATTTGCTCAAAGAAGTCAAAGCTGACTTTCCTAACAGGTCCAAATGGTGCGCCTTGCCAAAAAGGAGAGACATTACGCTGGGTGTTTGTGCAGTTGTAGAATCAGCTTATGGTTGATAGGGCTAGGAACTGTGTATACAAAATGCAATGTGATGACTGTAAGAAGTTTTATATAGGTTTGCAGACATCCGGGGAATTGCACATCAAAATCCGTGAGCATACGCGTTCTGTTACGTTCTATTAACCAACCACCGGGAAACGTAAATGAATACCAGGCGACAGTCAGCAATTTGGCAATGACTGTGTGCACTAGACACTGGATTAGGGAACATTTGGAAAATGTGGACATCCTGAAACGGGGTTTAATATTCACATCACGGCTACTGGTGGCCGAGGAGGTGGAAATCGCCAAGCATCCCAGCGTACATAGAATAGCGTGAATAGAACTTGCAAACGTGTGGAATCCTGTCTAAGATCAGCCGAGATGACACAAGGCCGTGTGCGGCTATCAGCGGAATGGTCTGGTTCTAGGAGTAGAAAATCCAAGTCGAGTTAGATCCAATTTACCACTCCAAACCCTCATTCCCAAACCAAGAAGAACTTTCCATCAAGTTGTCCCAGACTGAGAGTGAAATATCCGATTTCGAAATGCAGCAAAATTCTCCCCATAACCAATCTATCGTACAGTTTAGTCATTCCCACCAACCAAAAAACAGCAACATAAGACTTAAAAGCCAGCCACGATCGAGTCGGTCAGTCATAAGAAATCTCAAGAATTGGCTCGCTGACTGCTTTAAAACCCAATCAATCTGAACCATCAGAGGCGCGCAAATAGAAGCGACCCCACCCCAAGGCAAGCGTGTGGAGACCGGCTTTAGATCAGCCGAGATGACACAAGGCCGTGTGCGGCTATCAGCGGAATGGTCTGGTTATAGGAGTAGAAAATCCAAGTCGAGTTAGATCCAATTTACCACATCAAACCCTCATTCCCAAACCAAGAAGAACTTTCCATCAAGATGTCCCAGACTGAGAGTGAAATATCCGATTTCGAAATGCAGCAAAATTGTCCCCCTTAACCAATCTATCGTACAGTTTAGTCATTCCCACCAACCAAAAAACAGCAACATAAGACTTAAAAGCCAGCCACGATCGAGTCGGTCAGTCATAAGAAATCTCAAGGATTGGCTTGCTGACTGCTTTAAAACCCAATCAATCTGCACCAACAGAGGCGCGCCAATAGAAGCAACCCCAAACCCATTGAGCGATCGGTTGAGCAACCGCGATAGGATCTCAAATCCTCATCTCGGAAAACCAGAAACCAGTTCAGCGAGTGATCATGCTGTACGGCTGTTCAGAGCGTAAATGTTAAACATTGACAGCAAAATTGAAGAATAATTTCGTAGCCTCTTAGGCTATGTTGATCGAGTTTTACCGTGGATATTGCAGCCGACGACATTGGGAAGCGAACGGATCCCTCAGATATTAACAATGGGCCTAAGTGGACGTCAGCATCACCGGGATGAGGAAAGTGAGAATACCGCGTTTATGAGAAAAAAGGAAAGAAGGCTTCTGCAGTAGACTTTTTCGCTTACGAATCCTGTGGTTTACAGCAGACCAGGCAACCGGGTTGATGGCAACATTAGCGGGCGATGAGACATGAGATTATTTGTAAGTGTGCGATCCAAACTTGAAATTGGCCTGTGATACTACCAGTGTAAGGAGGAAATTCCTTCGCCACGTGGTCCTCTACTGGCAAACACCAATTAAGCAGCTACAATCTAATGGACTGGAAGGTAACCATCTCGATTGCTCACAGTTTTGAAGAAACTGAACATTGTCAAGAGTCATGCTCAACTTGCAAGTCTATTCGTTGGATAACATGCGGACACCGTAAATACATTCCACAAGTTCCGTAGTAGAAGTCACCTTCTATTTGACGTGGTACAGGGCTTCAAGAAGCCTACAGATTACTCGTATACCACATTGAAACTTGACTCACCTGATGGTTTCCTACAAATTGATAAACCAAATGCGACGAAAGTGTACTGACAATACGTTTATACATAACACATTTACGACGAATTAAACTGTTTCGTTTTCTTGGGTAAACGCCTGTCAAACTGCGTTCCCAAGTGGGGTGGATCGCTAACTAGTGGTATCACTGATCAGTTAGACGTGGCTAAGCTGTTCATCGTTAGGATAAATTTCGGGGTGTAGCGGGATGGAGTCCCTCCTGAGAAACATGAAATGCACTATAAAACAGTTGTATAGGAAAACTCGACTTTTCGACAGCACTCGGCCTCCGCGCCAGGCTGTCGCCGATTTCCATTCTCGTCGGAGCAGCCATATATCTGAATAGTTAGCTGACGTGTTCAAATTCAAGTTACTAATTAAAACAATCACACGAGGGTATGTAACAATCGAATGTTTGGTCTAGGATAGGCCGTCAAAATGCAGTTTGGAGAACTGAGGTTTCACTACTTATCGATGATTCTGGACATCTGCCTGCCTTCTTTAGCCTCTATGGCCCACTCTGCCTGTTATCCTTAATTCACTGTCACTTGTTTTCTCATTCTGACGAACGTTCAACACGCGTATCACGTCATGTGTGCAAACAAAGTTGCAGACGAAAATACAATTAGCTTCGCATACGGTGTGTCGCATAAGATGTGCAAAATTTGTACTTTCCTTTCATGACTTTCAGTAATTTAAGTCCCACAGAACTCTGATGCAATCAGCACAATCAATACCAGACCAAACGTCGCCCATTAAATTATATCATCGCTGGTAGATAGAGAAGTCTAACTACCTTTAATTTGTCGGTTTTCTGAAATTAATGACATCGATATCTAGATGTGGTTTGAGCAATTCAGCGGCCTGATGATGTGGAACAGTCTAGTAGTCTTAACTTTGTTTTCAAACAGCCAAGTGCTCGGGCAATAGAAGAAAACTTCGTAAGATGTGAAAGGTTGGTTTCTACTTGGAAATTGCAACAATCCTCAGGTATTTATTGCCAAAATGAATTGCATCTAAGGGCACTACTGGTGGTGTTTGTCTGTATATATACCTGAGGCAATTAAATTTTCACACAGTTTTTTAATGTTCCGTGTTGTCTAATCTACCGGAATCGTTGCATTGCATCTATACAAAATTTCTGCATTCCAAATCATTAGTTAACACTTGAAAGCGCGACACAGGGCGCACTCGTAATCAAGAAATATATGCAGAACAAACTCGGTTACCAAAGTCAAACAAAATTTGTGGGCTTTTTATTTCTTTCTATCCGGTCTACACGTTGATCTCTCACAAAAATCGCATTGCCACCTCGCCTTTGTTTATTTCATAGATCCGTTTAAAGGCAAAGTCTCTCATGATTACGAGTACGGCCATTGGCTACGTGGAAACGTAAGTCCAGTGCGCAGCATTTACCAGTCTATGAAATCGCACCTTTTGCGAACTCGACTGACAAAATAGGATATACACACATAAAAATAATAATAATAATTCTTCAACAAATGGGTTTTACTTACTAAAAGTGGCGTCATAGAATTAAGTGATGCGGACCGAAAGATTTCAGATCATAGTGTGATAGAGGCCCGCAAGTGGAAGATATCCTGCACTACCCGCGGAGATGCTTCAAGCCAGGAACAACTACGTGTTTGCTGTAGCTGATGGACGATGTTAGTGAATCGTGCCAGTGAACCAACCAGAGCGCCGGTTATTTGTCTCGGAGGGTGCCATGACACTATTATCCCATGTGAATTTTCTGAATACTTTCCGAATTCTCAACTTTCTCATAGATGGAGACAAGCTCACAAGGATAGTGCCAGGAAGCCTCTCAGGGTTAGATCACTTTGGGAATGGAGTTTTTGCTTCCGACATGAAACCACCCGCATTTTCAGTGGCCCGTCGGCCTTTGAAGGAGAGCAAAACCCTCATACGCGTCTTTATTACGAAACCAAATATCCATTTTCTCTTAGAATGATTCTTCCCGAAATATTCTGGACATTCATTGACTGCTACCGAACTGCAACCAAGGGTTACAGAGCGACTCCATATATTCATCAGTAGACCTCAATTCTCAAGAGACGCAAAGCGGACTAACAGGGAAACAAAATACTGGCATGCATCGCCATCAGTATTATCACCGTTACACCGGAATAGATGTAACCACCACACATTACTGCTGGTGTGGTGTTGCCAAAGTGACGACTAAAACAATGTCGCCCCGCCTTGCATGGATTGTAATCATGGCAAATACGGGCCTCCCTCTTAAACGTGAACAATATCAACACGCTAATAGTCAATCTGTTCTGCTCAAAAGTCCGATTGAGTTCCTCCTTGGTTACTTGTTAAACCGGAAAGACGCGTAAGCCTCGAGTCTGCACGATTCTCTTACAGAAAATTTTCTTGTGAACCTGAAACATACATTTCGGATCGAGTTTATATCATTTGCCAGCAGTTTGACAAATAATTTACGTATCTTTGCCGCCTTGTTTTGGGCGCCCACCAGCAATTTGCTACAGTTTCATCACTTATGAAAACGCGCTCTCTAGACTGTTTTTGCCAACTGGTGCTTTGTCAACAAAAAGAGGAAAAAAATTGTACAGGAAGCTGATCTTGACATCTGACAAATTCTAGTTATTTGAGCCACTGTACAACAAAATTGTTAATTTTGTCATGTATATTGATTATACAACGACCTAGAGATTACGCAGTTCGTAGCTTGTACAAAGCAATCAATATTTTGTTGCGACAAACGTTAGCAATACTCAATGTTTGTCTGAGAATGCGTTGAAGAAATACACAGACGGTTAGTTTCGCTGCAGTATCTGATGTTCCGTTTGAAGTCCTATCGGCTCGGTTTACTTGGCTGAGAAGACAACTGATGATCATACGTCAGTCTCAACTCACAATTTAAAACCTGCGCATACGATAAACATACTAGGGTTTTGAACTAGTTTCCCACAATGCAACCGAGAATTCCTTCACAGGACTCTGCTGTGTGAAGTGAAGTCCTGATTGCATTCGCTATCGACTTTACCCTTACAGGATCACCTCTGCACCGAAACATGTTCAAACTCTTATTCGCAATTGTGTGATTTGTGGATTTTTAGGGGCAGCATGTTCAATATGGAGAAAGTAAACAGTTATCAGATAAGGGTTATTCAAACAAAGACATATTCATCTGGCATAGTGGTTCAAATGTTCCATTGAACTGTCGCGAATGACGCTTGTAAGTCTAGGTTGATCCCGCGGTCTAAGCAATGTCGATGACTTGAATCTTTGGCGAACTCTCAATGTATCGTTTTGATTAACTGAGAGAGAATTGTGAAAAATCCTAAACTATCATTTCTGAAGGCTTCTGTATCTACTTATTTTTTGATTTTTTATTCATTTTTATTTTTTTATTATCTTCGCCAACTCCTTTTGTGTGATT